ACTCGGCGGATCAGTGCATTATCAATACACATGCTTATGACCAATTCGTCCCTGTGCGGACTCGGTGAATTGGGCCAATCTGCAGGGCCGAATGTTATCGGCTCAATTCTTCCTTTTTCTGGGGGTGTGTGGAGATGGCTCCCACATAGAGGTTCCGTTCGAACCTCTTCCGTTCGATTGTCGAGTCCCCTGTTTCCCCACCCCCGAATATGACCTTTACCTCCATTCTTGGCTTTTTTCCCAGGTTCCCCGAACCCTCTGCTTCATCCCTGGGGGAATGTATGCATCATTTTTGGGCTCAGCGTCTCGCTGATCATCCCGTCTCCAACTGTTGGGCTTCTTAAACTACTTGAGGAGGCCTAGAGTGTTCAGGTCTTTATTCACATATTTATCCAGGTGACCCCGCTGAATCAACTCCTCAATGGCAATCTGTAATGCTCTGCAGAAATGAGTGGGGTGACCCTTACATTTATGGTACTTACAGAGGGCATTCTCGTCCGACCCCATAAAAGATTTAGTATCGATTGGAAGAGGAATGTTATCCTTCTCGTTCTGGTAAATGGTCTCAACAGATAGGACCAGAGGGGTGAACCGTCCTGGCTTCGGAGGGGGTGCGGCCGCTGGCATAGGACCCAGCCGAACGGCCAATCTTGTTGGGGCAGAAGGTGTAGCCACCTTGTCCCTGATCATGATTTCTTCCTCTAGAGCTGCATGCTTTCGGGCCCTGCCCAGCACTTCGGCATACACCGTGCCCAGATTCTTTTTTTCAAATCCTTGTACAGTTCACTCGTTGGGAGGGCGTTAGTGATTGAGGGTCTCCTTTGGCCCCTGCTTAACACTGGTCAGGTAGCTGAAATGTCGTTTAGGGGTGGCACTAGAGGCAAATTGTGCCAAGAATAACGATGGTAATTCAGCAAAGCTCCCGATCAATCCGGGCTGCAGGGTCCCGAACCACTCATGTGCGGGTCCCCTGAGCGTGCTGAAGAATAGTCGGCAAATGGTCGCCTCTGTTGCTCCCAATAGCATGAGCCCTCCTTGGTAACTTCTCAGAAGTACGTGGGGATCTCCCGCCCCGTCATATATCTGACCGATCGGCGGTTTGGCATCCCTTTGTATTTCGTCATTCATTATTTCCTGGGTAAACGGGGAAGTAATCCCAGCCCGCACCGGGGTGGGTTATACGGATGCCCTGTTCATCTGATCTCTCATTTCAGTCATCTGCCTCCTCATTTCGGCCATTTCTTCCTTTTGGGCCGTTAAGGGAGGAGGTGGTGGTGGAGTTTCCAAATCGACAAACTCTCGAGTTCCTTCCGGTGGGGGCGTTCTCTAATTCCGATGTTCCTGTCTGCATCTGGTGTGGTCACGTTCTGCATAACGGAAATGGCACCCGATTGGCGTATCTCCTCTGGCTCGGGACCTGGTCGGGATGTGGTCACTAGGAGTGTGTTGCCTGCCCTTGACGTGTGAGTCCTTTGGTGATCTCCCTAATGGTCTCGTGAATGGTTCGAAGCCGTGGTGGTTTCTGTATCGGTGATCTCTTCATCGAATGATTGCATCGATCGGAGTGGGGATGGGCTCGTGTATCTGGTTTCCCCAGTATAGCTGAATCGCCCCCCGTTTTGCTCATCCGTCAAGTGCTGCATGACCTGAGCTAGATCCCGCATGGTGTTGGGTTTCCTCCTCAGTGCTTCGGGGATGAAAAAATCCCCATCGAAATGTTGGTACGATCCCCGGCTAGATTGCTTTTAGGGGGTCTTGTTGTCCCCGCGTCTCCCAGAACTTCCATCAGTATGATGAGAGGTGATTATGACCATTTTGACAATAGGTTGATGTTTGGATAGTTTGTTGGTTTTGAAACTTTTTGTTCAAGTTTCCCACAGACGGTGCCAATGTTGAGGTTAAGTCCCGCAGATCCGAAAGCCCAACACACGCTTTGGATATTTCAGGATGTGGGTAATAAATCGAGGGTATAACAAAATATAAAAGCTGAATAATAATATGCTCAAAGCCCACTTGTATTTAAACAATTCGCTGATTACATAGGAAACTTCTCGAATGATACGTCGGAATAGTGATTAATACAATAACGAGAATGAGAAAGCTATTCTAGGTCTTGAGTATCAAAATGCTAACCCTTTACAATGAGATTAATCCCTCTATTTATACTAATGGGGGTATGGGGTGCTCTACGCTGATTGGTCGTTAATCCAACCACTTGAATGTCCATGCTTCCACTAGTTGATGCCATACTCTAGTATTTATTGCTCACTACCACTTGCCATCTATCCGTTGCCCGAGCGGGGTGATGGACCATGCTAAAAACACCATTGATCTGGCCCAAATATTCTGGTTGACCCGATTCCCGTTCGGGGCATATATCTCACTGAGCCTGTTCTTCGCCTGGATTCCGGGCTATTTATTGGACTGGACATTTTGAGCCTTTGACCCGGATATTGGGCCTTCGGTCAAATATCCCAACAGATCGTAAAATAAATTTTGGATTCATTTGGAGTTGGGATGAGTATGGCCTAGAACCACGATAAAATTCCATAAACAATCGCATAATAGATTATTTTAAAATAGATCTTTTTATGCAAATAATTAATTAATAAGAGAATGTAATCAAAAAGTAGTGATCATTGTCATGAGTGTGTGGCTGGATGTCCAACCAAATAACAACCACAACGAAGAAAGAGAAAAATGAAATTGAAGAATACACTCCTTATTCTATAAGCATATGCACTCCACTGTTTTTAAATATACATCTTTAGTGTCCCAACTTCAATTTATATGAAACTGGTTCAAAATCCAACATCAACAATATTGAATTAAATTTGCCACATATTTTATTGACGCAGAGTTCACAATGATATATCGTTGTCCACATACCACACATTTATATGACTAACAACAAACAAAATTAAATGATCAAGCACATGTTGAAATGCAACCCATTGGATTTGGAACAAATGATTAGTGTTTGGGAAATGTGAATTTTCATTTATCTCTCAGAGTCTCTCTTTCAAATTCTACATAAATTATTATGGTCTATGTTATCTATAAATTTGATGCTTTTTAAGCTATATTAAAGTTAAATTGTTTGTACATTGAGGTGACAACTAAAGTTGTTGATAGAGCATATGGACTTGGACCTTCGATCTTGCGACTATTGAGTTTGGATAGTCGCTCACACATGTCCACTAAATAACATTCATATTATTGTACACTTTAATTTATCCATTTGTACACATTAGATTAGGTTTCATATCATTCTCGTGTAATTGAGCCCACATATCAATGACCCAACTAACATTTTTTTATGCGTAGTTTGTAAACCCCAAGATATTAAGCCCATTCATTCAATTCTATAGCCCCGTCTTTTCATTTCTTGACCAAAACCTCATAGTCTATCGGAATGCCAATTTCTAAAGCGTGTCCAAGTGGTGACAGCATGCAATTGCGCGATTTAAAAATTAGATAAGTGGTATTAATTTGATATGGAAGTTGAAAGTATGGTACAAAAATGTCAAAACCTTTATCAATTAATTTCCTTTTTATGGATGTCGTTTGGCTATCGATTATATTTGGATGTTTTTTTAATGTATCTTCCTTTAATTTGTTCATCACGGTTTTCTTACGTTCTACTCTTTTTTAGGCAACATAGCTACTAGCCTACTACAAGATTGTTTTTTCTGTTTGACTAATACATGATTAGTTTTACTTTTTATGCATTTACGTATAAAATTCAATCCCTTCAAATATGCATATTCTTCTCCATATTTCCATAAACTAGTAAACTTTATACAAAACCAACCATTTTGAAAAAAAATGATCTTTTTGAATTATGCATCCATCCATGATTTTATTGAAAAAAAATAAATGATTTTTTTGAATTATGCATCCATCCATGATTTTATTGAAAAAAAATAAATGATCTTTTTTTAATTATGCATCCATCCATAATTTTATTTTTAACTTCCATTTGGAAACACACAAATATATATTATTATAAAAACACCTCTATGTTGACATTCATAAGTAGTTTATTAGCTATCAGCCTATCACTCATCACGCACAATATGCAAAATCATATTGAAAGATGTAACCAAAATGATTTAAATGCATTCCAAAATGATTTCTAACCAAATAGGTTAGTAAGCACAATTAACAAAACATTGCTACGTGCATTGTGCATAATAATTCCTAAACGAACTCACTTTTCTTATTTGAATGTCTCAAAATAAAACTTTCGCACTTATAAAAAAGATTTTATTCACTAGAAATTCAAAACAAATTATTATTTTGCATCAGTAGTATTTGGAACTTATTGTTGGACATAAATATTATGTAGTATATTTTTCATAAAAAATACTTCGGAGTAGAATAAAATGGCAATAAAAAAATAAGAATATATACTATAATAGATTTGGAGCATTTAAAAAATGACAATAAAAAAAGTAAAACTATTACTCCATATATAATCAGAAAATTTAAGTGATACACCCGATAACCTAAAAAATTGCAAAAATTTCTTTTGCACACATTCTTATACACATCAGTACATTCTCGTGTTTGTGAGAGTTCTTTTTGTTTGTGAATCTAACCCCTATGATTTGTTTTGTCTGTGAAAAATTCTACAGACAAAACAAGCTTGATTTTGTTTGTGGACTGAATTTCACAGACAAAAAAAAGACTTTCACAGACATAGAAGTGTACTGATGTGTTAAGAAGGGGTACACCAAAAAATATAGGGGAATAATGATTCTTCCCTATCTGGATTCTTGACACTAATTACTCCCAAACGAATTAGCTGGATCTAGAAATATCACATAAATCAAATTACCTCCTGCTCAGAATCAGATGCGGATTAACAGGGAATCAAATAATACACGAAAACAAAATCGAAGGGCACATTAGTCAATTCGGACCCCTAATCATCATAAATCACAATCATTGTATATTTATACGTATTTATTTCCCTATAAAACTAAAACACATCACTCCTTTTCATAATTGTACTTGTATATATATACTCCGTATTTAATAATTCTCCCAAGAAACCTTTCCGCCGAGTTTCGTCCTGCCGCCACCGCCGCCACCGCCGCAGGCACGTGACGATGGGCGGCAAACTACTCCCGCAGTCGCCGCCGTCCGGCGTAAAATTAGGGCGAACCAGCAGTAGCGATGGCGGCGGGAGTGGAAACATCATTCTCAACAAGTACCAGCTTGGCCCGCTTTTAGGCCGCGGCAGCTTTGCGAAGGTCTACCAGGCCCGCTGCCTGGAAGACGACTCCACGGTGGCGGTCAAAGTCATCGACAAGGGCACCACCGTTAACCCCTCGATCGAGCCGCTGATGATCCGAGAGATCTCCGCCATGCGGCGGCTGAAAGACCACCCGAACATCCTGAAATTGCACGAAGTCATGGCGACCAAGACCAAGATCTACCTCGTCATGGAGCTCGCTCACGGCGGCGAGCTCTTCACGAAGCTCTCCAAGCGCGGCCGCTTCTCCCTCGCCACCGCCAGGTATTATTTCCACCAGCTAGTTTTCGCCCTACACTTCTGCCACCAGAACGGCATCACCCACCGCGACATCAAACCTCAGAATCTCCTCCTAGACAAGGACGACAAGCTGAAGATATCCGATTTCGGGCTCTCGGCCTTGCCGGAGCAGATCCAGGACGGTCTCCTCCACACTGCGTGCGGTACTCCGGCCTACACCGCCCCGGAGGTGATGATTAGGAAAGGTTATGACGGCGCAAAGGCGGACGCTTGGTCTTGCGGAGTCATCCTCTTTGCTTTTCTCTCTGGACGCCTTCCATTTGACGATGGCAATATAGCGAACATGTACCGTGCAATGCGTAGCCGGGCATTTCAGTTCCCGGAGTGGATTTCAAAGCCTTCCCGGAACATAATCTACCGTCTTCTTGATCCTAATCCTGAAACAAGATTAAGCCTTGACGGTTTAATGAGGCTTCCTTGGTTCAAGAAGTCATCATCCCAATTAGATTTGAGGGAGGAAGAACAAAAATTCCAGGATGAGCAGGGTTGTACAAAACACTTGAGCATGATGAATGCTTTCGATATAATATCAATGTCTTCTGGGTTGGATTTATCTGGGTTCTTCCAGGTGGGAACGAACAAGAAAGATATGCGTTTCACCACAAATGCTACAGATGTGGGAGAGGTTGAGGAGAAGGTAAGGAAAATCGGGGGTGAGGCTGGGTATAGGTCGGAGAGGGGAAAAGAAGGGATGATTAGGTTGGTGAAAGAAAGAGTAACCTTGGTAGTTGAAATTATTAAAGTGGCGGGAGAGCTATGGTGGGTGGAGATGAAGGTCGTTAATGGAGAAGCAGAATTGGATGAGAAGCGGTGGGAGGAATTGAGAGTTGGGTTGAAAGATTTATGCTGTTTCATGGTAGAATGATCATGCATTTCATTAATGTGGAACGGGAGGAAAATGGTGGTGGTTTGAGCTGAATTTGTACCGGAAAAGATGGAAGGAAGCTCTGTTCCAAATGTCAGCACTTCTAGTGAAGGTAGAAGAGTATAGAGAGAACTCTGTTCTTGTAAATGGTAGTTTTTCTTTTGTATTTTATTATTTATTAATTAATTAATTTGTCATCACAGAGACTACTATAGGTTTATATATACATCATCACTTCATTTGAATGCCATTCATCCTTATACACTCCCTAATCCCTAATTCAGAGCTAGTATGCTTTTGTAGTCTTAATACACTCACTGATACAAAAATAGAGAAATGTTTTTACATTCAATACTTGAGTTTTGAGTTTACAAAAGAGACAGTTGAAAGATATCTGCCAAGAACTCCACATCAATTTTTGTATTTGTCCATGTGGTTATTTCTCTTTACCTTACTAAGGCTTTGTTTGCAAACACTACTCACTACTCACGAGTATTTTTCAATTTTTTAAAGTGATTTTGGAAAAAGTGCTTCCTAAGCTTTGTAGGTTACCTCTTTCCTAGAAAAAACTATTCACTCACTTGAGGAACATCTTGGAATCACGTCACTCTTCTTTGCTGGAAGAAATGATGTCCCAGATTCTAATCCATATACTGATGGTTAGTTTTATCTAGAATTTCCCCAGTTGATCATTCTCTAGGATTTTCTAGAAAGTCATTTTAGACTTTTCTTTCAACTTCAAGGTCTATAGAACTCTGTAGTTTCTTGAAGTGATCTCAATTATGAAAGGATCCAACAACAAACTGCAAACAGTTATTCTCATTTGAATAAAGCTCATAGAATGTGGCAATTCTCCAAAATTTTCAAATTATTAAATGTCCTTCACAGCTAATAGAAGTTTGCAATTCTGAAAGTGTGTATTATTAACTCTTCATGAGTTATTTTTTAAAGAGTGTGTAGTGCAGGAAAGGGACAGAGGGGTCCAAAATCAGGTGAGAATGACACACTTCTATGTCAGCACAAGTTTTATATTCCATTGTGAAGTGATGATCACTTAAAGAAATCTGAAAGAATCCACATCCAGAAATCAGATTTTGGATTTAGACACCATACACGTCATCATGAGGCAGAAGTGTATTATTTATTCATGCATATACTTCATCATTAGGCAAAGAATAATTTACTGTAATCATACAAGGAAAGTGATTGTTAAACCATTAAAAGCATCCCGGATTATTAGTATTTGTTGTGGCAAAGATTCGAGAATGACATATTTACAATGTCGAGATCAGAGAGGAAGGGTAAGTAAAAAAGAAAAAAAAAACAATAGAAAAACATATTTAAAAGGGCCCACAACCTCACAAAAAGCCCCAAAAGAGATCCCGTGTTAGGCCGTCTTTGTTGTTTCCATGTGCCAAACTGCGCAGGTCAATATTCTTTTGGACAGGAGTGAGTTGCATTTAAATATCCCATTTAATAAGGTAGAATTACAGTATATTTGTTACACTAATGACCAGCTTTCAAGAACCACTTAAAAGAAATATGCACGGGACATCATTTAGTAAAAATTATATATTATTGAATGTAAGATAATACAGTATTAATAGGTTTAAAAAAATAGAATGCATGAACATACTAAAAGAAACTAAAGAATAATGCATATCAAAGGATTATAAAAAATGGGAAGAATCGATGCATATTGTCAATAAATATAATTATGAAAGATCTATAAGTTAGGGTACAAACCAAATATTATATGGAGTGGTGCATGTATATAAAGAAATGAAATAATAATTCTACAATATATTTATTATTATACTAAAAGCCAAATGTGTAGCAAAATAGAAGAATACTCAAACGTGAATACTCATTTTAAGACAACACTCATGATTTTGATTATCTCATTGTTCACAGTCCGTTTGGTAACACTAAAATTGACCCGTTTGGTAACACTAAAATTGGCTGAATTGACTGATTCTGATGAAATTAATGAAGTTCTGACTGGAGTGGTTGTATTGACTGTTTATACTGATTTATGAAAAAAATATATTTAAAATATATTTTGCTAATAAAATAAGGGAAAATACATAAAAAAAATAGCTAAAATAATCATGTAAAGTAACTTCAGCCAATACAGCCATAAGACTAACTCTATCATTACTTTTTCTTATTATTGCACAATTCAGCATGCAAAACCAAAGACTACGTGTTTAGTTAAAAAGTTGGTTGATAAGGCAAAAAACAGAATCACCAAACGGGCTCTCAAATGGTCGTTACTAGTATATCTACACACTCGGCGCAACGTGCACATTTCTGTAATTAAATATCATCCTTTTAACGTGTCATTGTTTCAGCGTGTCATTGTTTCAGCGCTTAATATCAATACTTTACGTCGTACAATTGTGCTAAGTCAAATTGTTACACCCGCTTCGTTCCCGTTATAAGTACTACCTCCGTTCTTAAATAAATGCAACACTTTGACTTTTACACTATTCACATGTTCTACTTTGACTACGTTTTATTTATTAATGTAATAATATTATTTTATGAAAAAAATATTGTTAAACTTGTCTCATTGCAAATTTTCATAATCTAATTTTTTGTAATTTTTTTACTAATACAAAATCATTTATATTAATGATCAAAGTTGTGTCTCGGCAAGTGTGCAATGTTGACCGTTGCATTTATTTAAGAATGGAGGAAGTATATACTCAAACGTACATATAATGCATGCATACACACACATACACACATACATAATGTATAAACATATTTAATTAATATATGTGTAGTATATAACTAACATTCTTGTATGTGTATTAGTCAAGGTTAATGGATTATTATATACTATATTAGAATAATAACAACTAATGACTAATTTTTTTTATCATAAATGTTACTCCCTTCGTCCCATATTTATCTTCACAAGTACAATTCACACACATATTAAGATAGTGGAAAATATGTGATGGAGAGTTGTGGAGAGGAAAGAGAAATGTGTAAGAATGTGTAAGAATGGTTGTGAACCACAAATTTTTTGCTAGAATGGGAAAGAGGGGATAAATTTGGGATAGACCGAAAAGGAAATCTATGAAGATAATTCCGCGACGGAGGGAGTATATGAGTTTCAAAAGAGAGTAAACGGAATACATTAACTACTATTCTCCACTGATTTTAGTTACAAAATGAAAATTTTACACTATTTACATATTATATTTTGATTGCATTTTATTTATTAATGTATAAGAATTGCGATAGTATTGTTTTTGAAAAAAATTATTGAATTCGTCTAATTATAACTTTTCCTAATCTTATTCTTAATTTTTTTACTAATAGATAATTGAATATAATAACGATGAAAATTGTACGTGAAAATAAGAATGTTGTGATACTTATAAAAAACACTTCTTTAAAAGCGACAAAACTTGGTTTGAGCCACAAGAAAAATTAAAGAACTCCAAATAAGACGGAGTTCTAATATTGTACGATCAAATTCATAACGAAGTAACCAAGGTTGAGGAGAGATTTCTAGTTTGGTGGCCAACATTTACGGGTGTATTGTATTAAGAATTAGTGGCAAAATTTTAAAAGTTCACGGATTTTAAAAATTCAGGTGTATTCAATGTGGATTTTTAAAAGTCCACAAAAGTTTAGGTATTTTCAATATAGACTTTAAAGTCTATAAAAGTCTAGGCATATTCAAAGTTCCGTTCATTCTTATGGGTTTCTAAAATCATGGATTCTCGTGGACTTTTAACTCATTTTTAGTATATTAATTCTCTTCGATTGTCTCTTCTCCTCATTAAAGATTTCCGTGGACTTTTCTTATATCGGTTCTTCATCCCGTCCCCCACCCCGCCAACTCTCTTCTTCTTTAGCCAAGTCACCTCTTCCCCTTCGATCTTTCTTCTTCTTCTTCAGCCTAGCTCGCTCCACCCCTCTCCTTCCATTCTTTTTCTTCTTCACCTTGCCCCATCCCCTGGATTCGTTAATCCCATACTGGTTCGATTATAGAAGTTTCTAGAAGAACTGGTATAAGAATCGATAATATTACATCAATGCAATTCTGGTACGTCGTCACTTAACCATTAAGAAAATAAATATTTTAACTATTACTTTCTTTGTGACACCGCACCCGGATGTACTTGAATTCGAAATTTGATATGTAATTGAATTTCCTATCGAATAAAATTTTTGTAACGGACTGGTATATTTAATTAATGCGTGATTAATTAAATTATTTATCGGGTCCACAATATTGAGAATGAGCCACCAAATATTTAGTTGGGTCATCATAATAATTATAGAAGTCCAATAAATGTCAACTAAGGTTGAGGAAAACGCTTGGACAAACAAGTGCTATTTTGACTCAACCTGCCAGAAATAACGGGAATAATTATGAGGGACTTCCTACACCCACTTGGGGTATTCTTTCAGTTAAATAACTCCCAAATAAGTGGGAGGGGACAAAACTAAATGGGGGAGGAGGTTATACGGATGGAAGGGATGGGGGAAGTCTCATAGAGACAAACCCACACACCCCCATGTCCTACACCTTCCTATTGATTGAGAGGAACCCATCTCCCTCCTCATTTCAACCATTCGGCCAACCAAGAGGGAAAGAGAGAGCTCCAGCAACTCCACATCTATGTTTCAGAGGAAGGAATCAAGAAGAAGAGAAAATCCAACAAGAGAAAGCTAGAAGAAGATGTAAGAGCACTTCTACTCCTTAGCGCCTGAGAGGTTCTAGAGAGAGTTGAGAGCGTCTCTCACTAGGAATCCGATCCTAGGTTGCTCTCTCTTCCCCTTGTCTCGGCGCCGCCACCCACGGTGGTTGCCGCCGCCGGAGCCTTCCCGGCTCCGGTGGGCTGAGTTTCTTGATGTTCATTATGAATTTTTGGAAAAACTTCCACTTTGGTGGGATGTTCTTGATTATTTGGTTTCTGGGTTTGATGGTGCTGGGACTGCTGGACCGTTGAGCTTTGTTCGTTGCTGAAAAGGAAACCAGTGCGCTGGATTCACCGCCACCACTCATGGCGGCCGGGGTCCAGGGAGTTTTTGAGTTGGTGACGTAAAGGTGGTGGCTGCTGGTCTGGTGCGAAACGGAACTCCTGAAGGTGACGTGCTTGGCTCTTGGTCGGTGGTCGCTCGTAGATTCAATGGATTCGTTCTGGGTTCTATGGCGGAGAATGTTTCCTTGTCGGTTTGGATGAACAATGCTGGAGAAGATGACCGGAGGAGCTCTGTGCTGGAGTTTATTTCCGGTGACGGGTTTTGCTTTGGCATTGTACTGTGTACGAGGACTTCTGCCGGAGAAGATGATGGGATAGGTTTGGAGTGAATA